TCCTAATGTGCTTTTGCAATCAGATATGGATAACTTCCTTTCCATTTGCTAGCAAAAAATCATCAAATAACACTTAATTAATGTTCGTTGCATTTGAAATGTTTTACACTAATGGAAAGGAAGCAATCCACATCGGATTGCAAAACACAATGCACCGGAATCCTTGCATTGTGATGAAAGGCATTGCTTTTATAAGCCCTCCATCCACCCCACCTCCAACCCGCACCCCCTCTTCCTCGCTCCTCCTCTCCTCTTCGAATATAATTTGATCATTCCATTCCGTCTTTGCGCCCTTTCATCGCCAGAATTCCCGTTCGCATGTTGCTTCCAAGCAGTCTCACTTGCCACTCCGATACACCAATTCTTTATACAAAGCGCTTGCCTATTTGTGTGCCGAATGGTGGTATGTATGCCATGGCTTTTGTCGCAATTGACAACTGTATACCTTCAGAAATTACTGTGCAGGGATTCAGTTGGTGTTCTGTAGAACTAACGCATTCGTCAGATTATCTGCAATCATCTTCACCTCAGGAGATGCCCTGCCCACCCTCCTTCCATTCCAACCATTTGTTTGCTTTTTCGCTGCGCAGAATTTTTAATGTCGACATGCAATCGATGTTTCGGCTGCAGATACCCCTTGAGGTGAACACGAAGCTACAACAAGGCGTGACAATCATTGAATGTAATGGCCCCGCGCACACAAACGTTGTTGAGGTTTCCTGTATTTGATCCGCACAACCAGGAGAACATGAATTAGTGCTGCTGATGTCTGAGAATTCGGGTCTCACGGTGTGTCAAATTACATTTATTTTGCGATGTGCTTCGAAGCATTTACTGCACTTCCGCATACGATGTGCTGCGAAGTAGGACTACTTCAAAACTTTATGTATTTTGTCTTAAGATATAGCCCTATTATGTGTTGCAGTTGTGCATTTATGTTTGTTTGAAATAATATTTTGCTTGGTAATAGGCTTGCTTGTACTCATATATGCATGGTATTTGCAGGATCGACGCTTATCACCACAGCAGCAAAGAAGAGTTGATGAAATAGACATTCTGGGGAATTTGAGGAATTTCAACATACTGTCTTGAGTACAACAAATAGCGGCTCTACACGCAAGTGAATGAGGCAATTCTCAAGAGAAATCCACCTTCATGGGCTTGCGCAGGTCGGCCAACCTTGAGCGCAAACTATGAAATCTACCGTTAAAATTTTTCAAACAGAATGGCGGCTTCCAAAGAAAACTGATTATACTCTTGTCTCGTGCCATTTCAATGCTTCTCAGACATATGGATCCTTGGTAACTTCTACATTTTGATTGAATCCAAGAACAGGGCACTGTTATTGCACCAGGATGAAGCTGGAAATGGATACGTCATCTGCACCTGAGAATTGCTGTTGTTATTGCTTTGGAATACATTGTGCTGTGTTGCTTTTTTCATGTTTGCAATTTGTAGGTAGCAAACTAATATCTCTATCATGTAGTACAAACCTCACCACTGGCAGCTGAGAAATTTCTCGTTTCTGTCGCTATCTTTCACAACCACCATGGCTCAGTCCCCATAGCCTGTTTACTTGGTGAACAGATTCGTTTTGGTCTTTGCGTTGCAGTTTTGCCAGATTCTATGTCTGCACAAGTTTCTATTCATTTGTCAATAATGGGAGCTCTCATAAGTGCAAAAATGGCAGTCTCCCATACTGGGCGCCGATAAGTAAGCTGCCGATGCTGGCATGCATGCGCCCTTGACGGATTGTTTCACTACGAATGTGAGAACGAGGACGCATTACGCACCAACAAATTCAGCTCTTTTCATATCCTTTAAACAGAAGCTGTTGTTTGCCGCGTCTACTATATAGCGGGGGTGATGGACGCCTTGGTGGAAGGCTTCAATATCGAGATACGCTCGCGCCAGATGGAGGAGACACCGCTCAGCATTGCGGCCGACAATGGGTACCTGGTGGTTGTTGAAATTCTGCTTGCGGAAAATGTGGACTTGACTGCCATGAATGCAGGGGGCCACCCGGCGTTGTACAAGGCTTCTCCTGAAGACCATTTGGACATGGCGTTCTTGCTCATAGAAGCCATGGCAGAATTGGAGACCCCGAGGGACAGGGAAGACACTGCACTGTGAGTCGCATCCTACCTCGAGCACACCAACATTGTGTCAGTCCTTCTCAAAGCCGGGGCGAAGACTAATCCTACAAAGGATGACAGAACCACATCCCTCTTTGCTGCGTCTCATGAGCGCCGTCTATATGTTGTTTTAGTTCTTTTCAAGGCGGGACCCGAAGCAGAACGACCCAGTAGCGACGGCGTTCCTCCGCTTTACATCGCGTCGCAAAATGGCCACGTGAACATCGTTCTTACTCTTCTCGGTGCTGCGAAGGAGGTGGACCCCAAAACAGACAGGGGGTACGCTGAGTAGTACATACTACACTCCCCTAGTGGTAGCCGCACAGATGGGATAATCTTTGGTTGCCAGAGCGCTCTTGGACTCAGAGGCCCACCCGAACTCTGCAGTAGACGTTCACTAGCGAAAAAGGGTGGAATAACACATGCTCAAGCGTGTACAAATTTACCTGTTTGGGTCATTTTCGTGTTTTTAGCATGCGGAACACTGATGGAATGCATATATAAGATTCCGCAAAAAGTTGTTTTGTGTGCTTTTTATGCTAGTTCTTGGTGCGGGTCCATTTGAATTGGCATCCGTCACATTAGAGTCCTGTGAGAAGATCACAAAGGACCTGCTGAACGCCGGAGCCGAGGTCGAGGCGGAATCCGACAAGGGATGGGTTCCATTGATGTGAGCCGCCATGTACAGCAACGTTCGGGCGTTGAGAATCCGTGTTGACAATGGCACGGATCCCAGCGAGAGGGATGTGGAGGGAAGAATGTGATTGGATACACATGTGGTTGTCTGCTATTGTCAGTGCCTCGGTGTCCCGAAGGTGGTTGCAATGATTTGTGTGTGTGCGCAATGATCACTTCAATTTTCGCTTAATGCACAAGGGGAAGCGCTGAATGCACTCAGGAAACATCAGTTACCAATTGGTGGATTGACTGAAAAGGCCGCCATCGTGGACTTATATCTTATATCATTGCTCGCAAACCGACTTGGAGCGCCTCGGAAATGAATTTTTTAGAGTCCGAATCAGCGTCTGTCGGCCTTTGGGCGGCTCAATTGCGCAATGAGCCTTTGGGCTGCGGCGACCCCGTGGGTACGGGAGGCATTCACGACGGCCACGCGTGGGGAAGACAAGTCTGTCACTCACGATCCGAACCCATCATTACAAACGAAGCGAGTGGTATTTATAGTGCGATGGTGCGACAGTTCATGAGTTGTTGTCTCCAGAATAACCACTCTGGCCACTTTCACGAGCTGGCCGGGTTCATGTCCATTTCTCATGCCAAGTTTCTATTCCCGCCGCCCAGACCAACTATGATCCATTGCCAACTAGCCCAGCAGCTACCCGCGTACACTACCCACTCCCACTCTCCCTCACTCCCACACTTCCTCAGCTCCTATTCCCGCCGCCATCCCCAACTATGATCCAATCCCAAAGCCGTCCCCGTTCATTCACTACAGCCAATTCCCCTTAACTGGCTCCCCTATCATACGCACAACCCCACTCCCCACGCGTTCTCATGTAAGAATGGAGCCCCATTGACATGGGGGGTACTGGCGGAGCTCTTGAGTCGTGTGCTGTGGGAATGTGTCCCGGGTGGGCCTGTGGGTGCGCTCGAGGGTGCCAACGAGAAGCGCGAGGATATCGGCTGCACCACGTCGTGCCGGTTGCGCTCGAGGCGCGGTTTCCGGGCACGATCCCACGTCGTGTGGGCGGTCTAAAAGGTCAAAGCAGGGCTGTATGGATGCGATGGTGCGAGCCACTCTCGCGGCCGCGACCGCTGCTCTCCCCAAGCTGCGGAGGGCAACGGGGTGAAAAGCCGCGGCTTTCTGCCGTCGTGCCCATGGCGCACAGCACCCGACTGGTCGACAGTAATGTGCTCGTCGTGTGCTCTTTTTGCCCGATCCTGTGGGTGCATGCAATGCAGGTTCCGACCATCCAGAACCGCAAATCGAAACTCCAATTTGCCTTCCGCATGTGGCTGTGCCACGCAGCAGCTCCAGAGGCCCGCGATAGCGCCTAGCAATGGCCACCGCCGTGGCGATTGCTGTGCGGTATTCCGTTGTCGTATCGTACGCCCAACCGCCCAGGGCCGACGGGCCCAAACGCGGCATCGGACGGGACGGGTCGTTCAGTTGAGGGGTAGTAGGGAATGTAGAGAAGGGCGGAACGAGTCCCCCATCGACGCGGTATGCCTTGGTAGGGTTGGCGGGCTCACCAATCGTGCGATGCATTCTGGGGAAGGTGGGAATCGCATCGATGAAGGCCGCAGGCTGGAGGGGGTCAGTCTCTGTGGAGCCTCGATCATTGTGCCACAGCCTATGCTCAGGGAGTAATATTCAATTGCCATCCTTCCAAAGGTGCCCCTCCTTTCTATGTATGACGAAAGAAACGATTTTTGCAGGCTCTGCTTAACAAAGCGGGGACGGCAGAAGTGCAGAACATTGGCCGAAGGCCCAATTTTGGCACTGGTTTCCGATACCGTGCCAGTTAGGTTTTGACGTCATTGCGCTGATGACGGATGACAGCAATGACGCAGTGCACTATTTGATGATCATGCGCCTCCGATGCGAAGTCACGTAGCAGCTCCCCTCCACCACCAGACATCCCAAAGGGCCATTAAATTAAGACCCATCCATTTCATCCTAATTGAAGGGAACAGGCTGCCCTGACACTAGTAAAAAAGGGACCAAGTAACACTTTTGAGAATACACATAAAACATATTTCATCAAAGCTGTGCACGCTAAGAACACAAAAAACAACACAAACCCGTAAACTTTGTATACAAAATTGTACGTACACGTTTGAACACGTGTCATTTGACCCTTTGTTTCCCTAGTGTGACGATTGTCACCCTCTGTGCTCTGAAATTCACGGCGTGGCCTTCCAAACACGAACCCTCTTGTCGTCTGAGCCAGATACCACCCGGTCACCCAACACTAACAGCGCACCGACCCGGCGATGCTGCTTCTCCCGTACTCGGCAACACTCCCAGGTGCCAATCGTCCACACCATGATTGAGTTGTCATCGAACGCCGAGATCAAATAGTGCTCGTGGACGGCCAGAGACGTGACGCTTCCGGCACTGTCCTTCAGCACCTTGACGCACTCCCACGTGTTGGACATGATTCTCTTTTCACACATCTTCCATACCCGTATCGCCTTGTCGCTTGAGCCGGTGAACAGCAGCTCCCTCGTGGCCGCAAGCGCGGTCACGTGACCGTCGTGGCCCTTCAGAGTCTGGCAGCATTTCCAATACCCGGGCATGGTCATGGCAGAAATCCTCCAGACGCGTGCGGTGCGGTCCTCCGACGCCGAAAATAAGTACTTCTGGCTGGCCGACACGGCCGTGACGCATTCTTGATGGCTCTTGATTACTTGCGGGTGGCGCTTCCACCAACCACGCCCAGTTTTCCAAACCCTGACGGTGGCGTCCGCGGAGCCTGAAATGAGAGAATCCTCCACAGCAACCATCGACGCTACGCACGCTTTGTGCCCGGAAAGGGCCGTTTCCTTCTCCCAGGACCCAATCCTCCACACCAATATGCTCCCGTCGTCGCACCCGGAAAACAGCCAGTCGTCCGTCGCAACCAGCGACCTCACACCGGCTGTGTGATTCTCCAGGGTGGCCTCGCAATCCCACGTCGCCATGCTCCACACTCGGACGCTATGGTCCTGGGACCCTGAGAACAGCCACCCCTTCACCGTCGCCAGGCATTCCACAGGGCCGGAGTGGCCCTTCATCTCCGCCTCCTTGTCGAACGCCATCTCCGCGAGGATGTGAGCCAGACTGCGCTGGTCGTCCGGAATGCGCACGAATTCCTCCGTGACGCCCATCCTGGGCAGTTCCAAGAATCCCTTGATGATGGCTCCTACGGACGCCGCACGCTCCTTGTGCTTCCTGCTCGTCGTCATGTACTCTACCCAAGTGTCTGTTCTGGGACGCATCACCTTCTTCATCTTCTTCTCGTCCAGCAATCTGGTCAAGTGCTGCGATGCCCTCTGCAGCCCCTGCCTCGCCGTCTCGCTCGAGGGATCGCACCTCACACGCGAAAAGTAAGCAGAGGCTATGGCGATTTTTGTGGCCTCCACTTTCTGCGTCGATGCAAATAAGGTTGTATCCAAGAGATATATGGTTCCAGAAGCATTCTTTATATCAGGAACTCAGTAGCACAAATTGGTAAGTACTCATAATGGCCAAATAACTCAGTTTTATTTCCTTCGCACATATTCCAGTCAACTATTCAGGTATCCTAACTATCATAGCCATATTTTTATGTTAGGCCCTCATTGAACTATGTTTGTCGTCAAATTTCACAAGCAGGATATCTCCTGAATTGTTGAAGCAAAGTGTGTTCCCACGTCATCCCAATTCTCTACTTCTCACAAGACAGCACACTTTGCCTCGGGTGAGCTCAATGCCGTGACCCTGGTATTTTGGAGTCAGACATTTTAGAAGAGAAAGCAGAGATGAATAGTCAGTCTGATACAAACAAGTGAGGAAAAAGGTACCGAATGCGACAGAGTTTTCGAATATCTTTTTCAATTGATATTCGTAGCGGATGCGTCAAAAGGTTGAATCCAACTCGCCATCGAGTGCTTCCAGCGATGTGTTTCTTTTCCACCAAAACTTTCGGCAGTTACCCATAGCAATTATTTTTTATTATTATTTTCATTATTCCTTGAAATGTGCATTGCCATCAACAGAGTTGAGATCCAAGGCAAATTGTCCTTTGCTGGAAAGCCAAGGTTCGTTACAAGGACATATCTAAATTACAAAAGCAAATTCAAAATCGGAATGATTCTGTTCCAAACCCATTATATAACTACCGATTTTCAAGAAGAAAAAGTGACACACGACTCCTTCACTAGGAAAAAAGCGCCAAATAGCACGTGTTTAAATGTGTACAAAGTTTACGGGTTTGGGTTGTTTTTGTGTTCTCGGCGTGCAGAGCACTGATAAACGCATTTCATATGTGTCCGGCAAATGTGCCATTTGGTCCCCTTTCTGCCAGTGCTTTGAGGTCAGAGAAAGGTAAATTTTGGTCCTTTTTAAATTCAAATACAGAGTCTTACTAAGGAAAAACCCCTTGATACAAAATACTCTCAAATCCTCAATGTTTCATGGATTGACTTGAAATTTCGATGTCATGTTCCAAACTTTCAATCACGACGTTGTGCGAGGTTTCATTGAAAATTGACTGCAGTGCGACGAACGAGTACTGCCCCAAAATCATAGATGACGATTACGGAAGTGTAACCTAGCTCTGAACTTCATTAGTATGAACCGCCCCCACCTGCATGGGATCGGGGACCACGGTGAATGCCTTCATCGCATATTCTTCCGCCTTTTTGTAGTCCTCCTTGCTCTCGTTTGCATCCTCTTCCGTGACAGCCAGCCTGAAGTATTGCATTGCCGTGTATAGGTCCTTCTCTCTGAGGGCGTTCAGGGCCTCCTCCTGCTTCTTGAGCTGGGTGGACACTTTTTCAAGAATATCTTCCTGGCCCGCGGCCTCGAGGACTTCCGCGACTGCCTCCGAGGCGACAATATCCAGCGCTCCACTCACCAGAAAGTTCAGGGCAAGATCCATTGCAAGCTCCTTTCCCCTGTTGAAAAACCCACACTCGGACTCACACACCCGTGAAAGTTGCATAAGGATGGAATGGACAACGGCTCTGTCTTTGGGCCAGATGCAGGGATGGAGCCACCCCACGGCATCTGCACTCTCACGGAATATGGACGCGAACATGTGCAAAAATGGTCCTGCAGGGATAGGCCCACGCAATGCGTCCAACATACGATGAACACAGAAATGCACCTTAAGAGTCAGTTTTTGTCAGCCAAATTTCCAACCTGCTGTTCTGATCTCGTCATCCTCCTAGCAATCTTTGCGTCTACAACTACTGCTACCCAAAGTGATGACTCAGAAGCTTGCTCAATTGTCTGAGACTGGTCGAAGTCTTATCATTGGTAGAATAATGGACAATGTCGACCCAATTGTGGTCAAGCGCCAGAACAACTCGTCAGTAGTCCGTCTTGCGTCCAGCACAATCTCTCCACAGTCCACAAGGGAAGTGCAACTGCCAAATCCGACATGAAGCGGAAGGAGCGTGCGAGGAAAACGTGTCGGCACGGTCGCTCTCGCACAGGAGATCGGTACACGAGAGCGCCTGCTTCAGAAACATTGCTTGAACTATACGGATATCGAGGCAGAATTTACACCTGCCCAAGTTCCAAAGAAAGAAAACTCTCTGATTCCAAGCACTAGTAGAAAACAGCATGCTTGCGATGCCATTTTGACACAAATTGATGCCATCACAACCACTTTTTATACTATCGCAAACACTACTGTGATGGCATCATTTTGTGTCAAAATGGCATCGCAGTTGTCATCGCAAACATGCCGTTTTCTACCAGTGAAGAGGAAATGCGAGAACCAACGGATCATTCGAATGCAGCTCACTCCAAAAGCAACAGGTACCAAAGACAATGTTCCCGTGGCAGCGATGTCCCGATCCCAAGAGAACAGCGCCCCCCTTGCGCAACCCGCCTTAGCCAAGGCCGCGTTTATGCCACGAACCGAAGCTGAGGGGTTCCATTTGTATTCCAGCCGCCAAGAAGCGGGGAGACAGTGAAGCGTATCAGACACTGAGACCGAGATTCCCGCGTGTGGAAAGGGCCGTTCCGGCGGCCAACAACCCTGCCGGAGTCTATCAACAAGGCTCAGGTTTGAGGAAACTACTACAGGCTACACGAGCAGCCCCAGTGGTGGCAGCCTTATGCTGCTTCTGCGACCTAGGTCCAGATGACCCTTGGTTGGTCAGGCGCACTACATCCACTCGTCCACTTGTGAAAGAGCATCAGCGAGGCAGAACTCAATGGATCCGCGAGCTGGAGATCAATGCGTGTCAAGCACGTTCAAGGCTCCCGCGGCAAACAGACATCAAGTCGAGGCCCGCCAAGATAATGCTCAATTTGTGCAAAACTCGCTGTGCCTTCAGCCGCGGGCTGTCTGCCAACGCCCAGCCGCCAGAAGCCGACCCCCGGGTGTGGCTGTCCCGGGAAGAGTGCCGGAGACCTCCGGGCACCGTGGCGGCGAAAGCCAACCTGGACCCGCGCATGCGGATCGGAGGAGTGAGAGCAACCGCGCTGCGGGAAGGAAAAAGAGCCCAAAAACGAACAAACGAAGCGGACCTGGAGCGACTGCGGGGGTGGGATCTGGCCCCTTGACCCCTGTGAGCCTCAAGAGGCCTCGCAAGCTTCCGGTGAACGAGGCTCCACCCCCTGGGCGCCCGAGTGGCCGCGGGCTAACGTTTGCGTAAGGGGGACAACTGAAGTGCGGCTCCGAAGGTGCCCCCGCGCTCACTGACCCGCGAAGTCACAGGACGGCTCACACCTCCGTTCGGCCGGCTGCGCACCAGGCCATGGCCGGAACGGTCGATCGGCCGGACAGGCGCGGACCCCGCGCCACCTCCATCCTGCGCCCAGATCGGAATTTTCGTGCACACGATCAAATCGCCCCGGCCGTCGATGGAAGCTGCAAGAGCCGCTGGGCATGCCTCCACGCGCTCATCGAAATGCCTTCGGCAGACACGGCGAGCAACAGGCTTCTCCGCATCAGCGCTGTGGCCATAGGGGGCCTCGCCGGGAAAGATTGAATCTGTTCCCTCCAGGCAGCCAAGCCATGCCACGCAAGCAGTTGTCCAAGCCCCCTCTGCACCCTACCCTTTGACTCGAGGCACGTGGAGAGAAGTTGGTGCGCCCCCAGCGAAGGGGCCGAGCCCCGGTCGGTAGAAGTGGCCGCCAAGCCGGTGCCCTTCGTTGGACAGGCCGGGTCGCCCGGCCCAGCCAATATGAAGCCCCCCAGCGCGAATGTGGCTCGCTGAGCTTCTTCGCAAATTCACCGGAGAGGGGGCGCATTTCAGGACGCCCCGGCCTCTGGTGGGAAGATTCTGAAGGATGACGTGGCACAACCCGGTGTCATGTGGTCATGGTGCCCCTCGTTGCGTGCGTGCTTGGGGGCGCTGTGGCAACCGGCGTGGTGCCAGTGAAAGCTGCCATCACTGCTGACTGGGCTATCTGATCGCAAAGATGGGGGCCGTGAGGCTTCTTCGCCCTGTCCACTGCCATCCAATTTGATTCGAATTCAATCGTTTGGATTGCTAGGGTCACGGAGCCGTGGGATGTCCCACGTGGGCCACCGCGGGAGGGCCGTTGAAGTGCACTAACGTGAGGCATGCCGCACGTTCCCACATTTCAAACGGCCCTCCCGTGGATGCCCACATGGGCTATCCCATGTGGGACGGTGTGGGGGCCTACACGGGACGGCCCACATGTAGACAGGGGCATCTGGGGCATTTCCTGCAAATGCCGCCGAAATGGGGGTTCCTGTTGATGGGCCGGCGATACCAGTGGCACCCCGGGCCATTGCCAAATCCCCACCACCCACCCACCCTGTTTTCCGGCCCTGCCTCCAGATGTCCCCAGGGGGGAGGCCGTAGTCCCCTGGTGCCGTTAGCGTGAGTTAGGCCTTCTTTCTGGAGGGAGCGCCTTCTTCATTGGAGAAGGAGAATCCTTTCCCCTTGGTGGAAGGACCTATTTTTCCACCACGTCGCAGAGCGCTGGAAAAAGCGGGAAGGGCAAGACCGTTGCTCGGTGACTTCGCCGCTTTTGTGTGGTGGGCGCTGTGCTTGGGCGATTTGATGAAGCGGCGGGCTGAGAAACTGCCGTCGGCAGGCGCAAAATCGGAAGGCAAAAAAATCAATGTGACCTTGCGTGATTATGCAGTCGATTACGGCGTCTTCCTACACTAAGGAACAAAGGGCAAAATAGCACGCGCTCAAACGTGTACAAAGTCTACGGATTCGGGTTAATTTTTGTGTTTTCGATCTGCAGAACTCTGATGAAATGCATATGTATGTGTTCCCCAAAAGTGTTATTTGGCCATTTTTTTCCTAGTGCTCGTGGCCACGGATTGTGCGGTCAGCAAGCCTCGACCTCACGCACGTTGCAGTCAGCGCTCCACGCCGACTTGGCGCCATCCGTGCTCCAAGGATGCGCCATTCACGTTGCATGAGAAACGCAATGAGTCACCCCGTTAACGTAACCGGTGTCTGCTTTGGAGCCGTGCAGTTTCTCCAGCCAGGTTCCGGGTGGGAAGCTTCCATGATTCTCAATTGGGAATTGGGTACCAGGTTCTCATGAACGCAGGCTCACACGTGCGAGGCACCTGCCGCCACTGACCGAACCTCTCCCCGCCCACCCCGAGTGGAATTTCACACGGCAGCCGAGAGAGTTCCTGCACAACAAATTTAATACACATTCCCAGTGGGTCGCGAATACGACAGCGTCGTTGCGCACACCCGCACGTATTGATGCTGCAACGTCACCCTCCCACAAAGAAGCGCCGCCGCAGTGCAGCGCCCAGAGCACGCGCGTCATGCCCTCGTGAGGGCATACATATGTATGTCCTGTCATGTCGCTCGTGTAGATATCGCAGCCTCATCGGTGTGAGGGCGTGAGGGATGTGTGCGCAATCGATTTGTGTGTCCGCTGTGACCCCCCGGAACGGCCGGGCCCAGGGCCCACCCGGGAGAGCGGTCGACCCCTATTCCAACTCCGGTCCCCCTGGCCGTTGTGGCCACACATCCGACCGCTAGCCGGGACAATTCGCCGGGAGGTCAAATGCCGGGGGGGGGAAGTTGCGGCCACGTCTTGAGCGGTACGGATTCGGTGCGAGCCTGTCAACACCCACACTGGAGTCACCCCACAGTGTCACTACATGTCCAGCACATCGGTGCTATGTACTGCATCGACAGGCTCTTGGCTGGCTCGCACCGAATCAGCGCACTTCAACACGTGGCTCCAATTTCACGGCCAGCCACCAGCCGCCCGCTCCCAGCTGGGCTACACCTTCCCCTCAGTCCCCCGTGCGTCACAGGGCCCCGGGTCGGGCGCCGCTTACGCAAGCAGGCCCTCCCGCGGCCCAACAAATGTGGGTTGAGTGACGCTGGGAAGCTGCGGCGCCCGGTACACGAGGGGGTATATATGATGCCGCCGTTGTGTCCGCCCCCTCCACCGCGAGAGGGCGAGGGCGCGAGGTCCGCGGAACGAGGTACTCACAAACGGCTCGACAGCTTCTGTGCGCGCCACAAGCGGGGACCGACATCGACTGCGGGGCGCACCGGTCGCAGTGAGAGGGAGGGAGCTGTTTCGATCGACCCGTCGCGAGTAACAGGTGAGGGGGGGCGCGGATTGGGGTCTCAGGAGAGCCGGGCCGGATGCTCTCTTTCCGGGCGGGGAGTTGTGCCCGCCGGTCCGCGCGGCCGGTTTTGAAAAGCGCCTTCCAGGCGTTTGCTGCCGCTGTCCGGTATGTCCAGCGCATCCCTTGCTCGCCTGGGCTGACCCACCAGCGGGGAGAGAACTCGTGGGGACGACCCGTACGGGTCGGGTACTGGTGCCTCCGCCGATTGCCGGCAGCCGGCCCCTCCCATCGGTAGAGCGTCAGGATTGGTGGTCCGCTGCGGAGGGTCCCGTGCTTTCAGTGCGACCGCTCTGGATCGTGCCGCGCCGCCCAAGGCCGCATCCGCCGCACCCCGCGCCGGGTGAAGGTGCGGCATTGTCCCAGCGGCCAATCTGACAGGCGACTGGGGC